GCCGTCAGCTTGACTACCTTTCCGGTCATGAAATTATGTCAAGACCTCATACTCCCTTACCCCTCCCCAATGGCCCCAACTCGAGGAACATGCACCAAGGCTCCAGGCCGGGGACACCCCGCCCCATGTTCTCTGGCTCGGTGAGAAATGGCTAACTACGACCGAATTTGTATCTGGCAGCATTGGCTGACTGCTTCTTCAGGCGGGCACCTCAGCATACTCCCTCCTCACCCCTGAAGAGACCCAGCAACGACTGAATACATCACTCACCCGAGGTCTATCCCCTTCTGATGCCGAAGCCAGGCTTCTCCAGCATGGGGCAAACGAGCTTCCACATGAAGAACCTGAGCCCTTGTGGCTTCGCTTCCTGAAACAGTTCAAGGAAACTCTCATATTGCTCCTACTGGCTTCTGCTGTCGTGTCTTTCATCATGGGCAATCTGGACGACGCAGTCAGTATCACTATCGCTGTGACAATCGTAGTCACGGTTGGTTTCGTACAAGAGTATAGATCAGAAAAGTCCTTGGAATCTCTCAACAAGCTCGTCCCGCACTATGCTCATCTCATCAGAGGTACTCCAGAAGGCAAGAGAAGACTTGGTCAAGATTTACAAGAAGGAATTGAAATGGAGCCAATACCCAACGGCTCCGTTCCCTCCCTCGGGACGGCGTCAACCACCGTCCCCGCCCGTCAATTGGTCCAAGGTGATTTAGTCATTTTTTCCACAGGAGATAGAATACCTGCAGACATACGGATCACTAGTGCGGCAGATCTATCCATCGACGAGTCAAATCTGACTGGGGAGAACGAGCCAGCCTTAAAGCAAGCTGGTGCACTGGATCGCGCACAAGCAAGGCCAGCCCCATATGGCCGGTCTCCATCACCTTCATACGCCTCGCCAGCAGCAGGAACTGTAGGGGCGGACATAAGGCTCAATGAACAAGTCAATATTGCTTTCATGGGTACGCTGGTTCGGTCGGGACACGGTCAGGGTTTAGTCATAGGTACTGGAGCCGGCACAGAGTTTGGTGGAATCTCAGCATCGCTGCAAGAAATCGAGAGCCCTCGAACGCCTCTACAACTCTCAATGGATCGCCTCGGGCAAGAGTTGAGTTGGATGTCATTTGGAGTCATTGCACTAATAGTTATAGTTGGACTATGGCAAGGGAGAAAACTACTGGAGATGTTTCAAATTGGGGTTTCGCTCGCCGTGGCTGCTATACCTGAGGGTCTTCCGATCATCGTGACAGTAACGCTTGCTTTAGGCGTTCTGAGGATGTCCAAACATGGCGCAATTGTTAGGAGACTACCGAGCGTGGAGACCCTTGGTTCAGTGAATGTCGTTTGCAGCGACAAAACTGGTATTTTCCCTACTTGACCAACTACCGACGGATATTGATGCAGGCTCCAGGCACATTAACCCTGAACCACATGACAGTAACAAAGCTGTGGCACTTCGACGCACCGTACCCCATTGAGGTAAACATAGACTTGGTGTCCGCGTCACCCGACCCTGCTACGCGAACAATACTGCGGGTCGGCAATATTGCTAACAACGCTCGACTGTCTCGCGCTAATGCGAGCTCACCGGCGACTGCATCCTCTGCCGCGATCATGTCGTCAACACTTGGCCAGGACCCAAACGCGGTCAGCGCCAAAAGCCGTTGGGTTGGTCAGCCGACAGATGTTGCTATCTTGGACCTTCTGGATGCTTTCGGCGAGGACGACGTTCGCGATCGGATCGGAGCACGAAGTGCAGAGACGCCGTTTAGTTCTGAACGGAAATGGATGGGAGTAGTCATCGCGGCTAATCATGGTAAAGATTTAGGAAACGGAGTCGAAGTTGCCTACATCAAAGGCGCTCTGGAACAGGTCTTGAAGCGATGTGATACTTACATCTCCAAAGACGGAAAGGAGATCATTTTGGACGAGCCAAGGCGACAAGCCGCCATTTCTGCTGCAGAGAAGATGGCAGAGGATGGCCTCAGAGTCTTAGGGTTTGCAAGCGGCTCGAACAGAGATGCCACAAGATCGGCAAAGTCTGGACAGGCTCCAAGTCGTAGTGGCACACCGCGACCAGGTGTCGCTCGTGATGGTAGCCGTCAATCAAACGAAGATGCGTACCAGGGCCTTGTGTTTGCTGGAATAGTTGGCATGAACGATCCACCTCGAAAAGATGTTGATAAGTCGATACGGCGGCTAATGACAGGCGGCGTCAAAGTCATTATGATCACTGGGGATGCTGAGACAACGGCCGTTGCTATTGCAAGGCGCCTAGGAATGCCTCTTAGCTCCTCGAGGGCAGGGTATCGACCGGTTCTAAGAGGTGACGAGCTAGACCAGATGTCTTCAGAAGAGCTTGCTGACGCAATGGCTGGTACCTCGATATTTGCCCGTACAAGCCCTGAGCATAAGATGAAGATCATCCGCGCTTTGCAATCTCGAGGCGATATTGTCGCAATGACGGGAGATGGCGTCAATGATGCTCCGGCTTTGAAGAAGGCGGATATTGGCATCTCCATGGGCCTCCTCGGCACTGATGTTGCGAAAGAAGCAGCCGACATGATCCTCACCGACGACGACTTTTCCACTATCTTGAGCGCCATCGAAGAGGGCAAAGGCATCTTTTACAACATCCAGAACTTCCTCACCTTTCAACTCAGCACCAGCGTCGCGGCCCTCTCTTTGGTGCTCCTGAGCACTTTCCTCGGCTTCAGCAACCCTTTGAATGCGATGCAAATCTTGTGGATAAGTAAGCCTTTCAACTTAGTTTTTGGACTCGGGGATTGCAGCGCTAATTGCTATGACTAGACATCCTCATGGACGGTCCCCCTGCTCAGTCTTTAGGCGTCGAGCCCGTAGATCCTGCAATCATGAATCGACCACCTCGTTCTAGAGCCGCACGTGTTCTCACTCGCCCTGTCATCCAGCGCGTTCTCACGTCCGCGACTGTCATCATGATAGGCACCCTTGGTATTTATTATCGAGAAATGTCGTCCGATAATACCGTTACCGCTCGCGATACCACCATGACTTTTACCTGTTTCGTCTTTTTCGACATGTTCAATGCCCTGACCTGCCGAAGCGAGGGCAAAAGTATTCTTAGAGGAGAATTGGCCTTGACAGGGAACCGCATGTTCAATTTTGCTGTTGGGGGCAGTCTGTTAGGCCAGCTCGCTGTCATATATGTCCCGTTTTTCCAGCGAATCTTTCAAACCGAGGGCCTAGCGCTGCGAGATTTGGGATTGCTAGCCGCGTTGGCCAGTTCAGTATTCTGGATTGATGAAGCGAGAAAGTATGAGAGGGCCAGGAATAGAAGGATTACAGGGCTTGGAGGAGGGTACAGCGCGAGTGTATGAATACTGTTTAGTACTGCCGTTGAGATGCATAATCTTTGTACATAGCATGGGAAGGCAATCAGCGCATACCCTCGTGTTTTGGAAGAACGATCATCGTTGGTCTAGTCAGATCCCGCCTTCAGCGTTTCGACCCCATCACGGCTCTCATAACTTGCGACCGAGTTTCCCTATACGCCTTGGCGAGCAAACCGTAAGGTGGAATGATACGTCCTGGCTGTCTTTGGACCCGGAGCTACCTCCATCATTAAAGCACAACGTGTCGTGATTTTTCCAGCCCAACCCATTATCTGAGCATAAGTTGTCCCACGAAGTCTGCCACCTTCACATTTCAACGATCAGACACCCTACATCTGTCTCATCCGCTCCGCCAATTTGTTTTTGCCAAACTCAAGCAAATTGTAAACGCCTTGTTCGCTGAAGTCCACACCTTTGATGTTCGTAACGTCCTGCGCCGGTGCCCTGCTGACCCTGCTCGCCACGACCACAGGATCAACTTCGAGTATGATGCCGTCGTCGACGATCTCGTCCATGGCGAGCGAGACGAGGTCATAGTTTTCTATCAAGGTGCGTTTGTCTGTGGAATTCCTGCAACGAAACCATGATTAGCTGCTCGAATAAGGATCGGGGACAGAGGAAAGCGGGCACTAACTTCAGTAATATGGATAACGAATCCCTCAGCGCCAGGACGACGCCGAACAGCAAAATCTCGTTTTCCTCCCCGCCGCCTACCACGTAAAGCATAACATCCCCCTCCATCTTGAAGACGACTACTCGGCCATCGTACAGTATGATGTCACTCGACTGCTTATTCGTCTTTTCCAGGAGCCCCTTCTCGAAAGCTTTTTGCTCCTTGATAGTTGGGTAGGGGTTGGCGCCTGGGTGGGACGTGCTATTTGGCGGGGCGTGGGGAGCAGAGTAGTATTTTGTGAGGATGCGGGAGCGGTCGTCGGTGGAGAGGATCAGGATGGCATTGACGGAGAAGAGAGACATGTTGGGCAACATAGTGGCGGTGAAGAGAGGACTCAATGGGGGGAGGTTTGTAGCAGCAATTGGATATGGAATTGAATCTAGGAGATCTTCTGGGAGTCGTGGCCGACGGAAAGAAGCTAAAGAGCCCTCGGAGCTGAGGCTCTGCGGAACAATCCAGACTAAAGTGAGTACTACCTTAGTAATTAAGGTACCTCAAAGGTAAGGTACTTTACATGTTTTCTATGGCTCGCTAAGGTAATCCCGGTCGCTAGTAAGGCGAGCCTTGTTCTTGGCGTATAATCTTAGTCATGCTGTCCAGGAGTGAGTTACCTCGCTTAATAGCGCCGGGAGAGTTGACCAATCAAACTACGATTTTCGCGGAGAACTGAGTAATTTGATTGGTCAGCTCTCCCGGCGCTATTAAGCGAGGTAACTCACTCCTGGACAGCACGAGTAGGTATTTGCTTACATTTGCTCATGCGAGAAGTCTTCCCATCCATCATGCTCCCGTGATACTCCTTGAGGCTGTTGCATTAATGGTGAGCTCTCTATATCTAACATATGTACATCCTGCACCTTCGATACAAGCGCCACGCCAATATCTACCGGTACTCCACGCTGTTCCAGAAAAGACTTGTCATTGCTCTAGCCAAATACACAAAACGCCCAGTGCTACGAATCTTTTGCATGACCCTGTTGCATCTTTGCTTTTCCTTCTTTTGACGGATCAGGGGGATTCTCGAGGTCGCCGCCACTTCCACTCCCCTCTCCATCAACTGCGGGATCATATTCGTCCAGTTTTCTGGGCTCCATTTTGAGCTTTGGCTTGTCCTTGCCTTCAGCGACCGTGATTTCCGCACCATCTTTAGTAGTCTCGTTCCCAGCAACGATACTACGTGCGCCGTCATAGTCTTCACCGTGAGAACGCCGCCGTCTGGTCCGACCATGTTCCTCAATGCTGTCTTCATCTCCGTCTTCGTGAGGAATAGGGTCATGGTCCGATGGCTTCTGGTCCTTGATGAAGCTATCAATGATATAGTATTGTAGCGCATTCATCACAACGGGGAAGAATAGCATGACGAAGAAGACTTGCACCATCTCGTTGCCTTCCGTCCACCGTAGAGCCCAGTCACCGACTCGTATTATCCACGGGCATATCTGGAAGATGAAGAAGACACAGGCTTTCATTCCTAGCAGGCCGAGGAAGTAGATGAAGGATTGTTTGAGCCACCATTGCGTTTTTGGCGGACGACCGTAATTCCCAGACTGTATTGACTCGGGCGGATTGCCCAGAGGGGTGAGAGAGAAACCGTGCGTCAACAGTCGTAGAAGTACAACGAGGATTGGTATGCCGACAGTAGTCTTCAATGCAAGCATTATTTCAGCCAACTATACATCATCTCGGGAAGGCGGGGTTTGAAACTTACGTCGATAGCCAAGTTCAGCAAGTAGAAAGAGCAAGGGTTGGCCTGATAGTCGCCAGCTTTTATAGTCAGCTGCCCGGAAGACAACATCGACATTAGTAGGTTGGCAATGTGCAGCAATGCTGAGCCCACGACTTGCTTCGACGCGTCAAAAGCCCAGATTTTTATCGGTCGCTGAGGCCTTTCCCGCCATCGCTTAAAGACCAGTACTAGCAGTGCCAAAACTCCAAGAGCGCCTTGTATGAAGAGAGCAAAGGGGCCTAGCAGTGCACACTCCCCATTCTCCGCGCCTGGTCTCGACTCGCCGCTAGACGTCAAATTCATCGGAGAAGTCGGGGTTATGGTGGAAAGGGATGATGAATGCCTGAAGGTTGATGCAGCAATGTATGAAAGAGTCGGCGAAAAGACCATTTCTACCATCTCTGCGGGTAACGAATGGGCAGCTGGTGTTGGCAGGACCACATCATCGGGCGACATGATTCTTGGGGGACAGGTAGGCCGGGCTAGAGAAGCCAAAAGTTGGGTATACAGAGATAGGTAACTAGCACCACGAAGGACAGTGGGTGAGTGGGTGAGTCAGTCGTGGGTTGGTGAAATTCTCCCGCGCCAAATTGTTGTATTCTGATTTCCAGTCCTGGGTGAGGGGCAAAGAGGCTCTTGGTCTGACGTATACTTCAGGGTCTCCGGCGGCGAGGAGAACGTAACGAAGGGTGCTTATAGAATAAGGACTCGGTCATGTAATTTCTAACATCTGATCAAATGCACGACCAAATAACACGGATATCAGGGGGCGATGCAAAACAAGTAGCTGTTAATAACGCGGGGCGTTGAGTGCTGCGAATTGAGGCTGCAGGATGCAGACGCCCTGGACCCAGGGTGAAACGCCGCTGGTGGCGCCAATCCTTGCCGTTTGCAGGTCACATCAAGACCCATTCATCATATTCTCTAGGAGCTACACACAACAGAAGTACTCTGAAGAGCTTACTACTTCAAACATATGATATGCTTCACTTAGGGGGGACATGAATGAGAATCGGTGAAGCTCGTTCATCATTTGGAGCTAAGTTTGCAAGGTCTTGGTTTTCCTCAGCTTGGGTGCCCTCATGCCTCCAGCCAGGCATTTTTTTGGCGATACCATTCTCCGTCGGACTACCTTATTTGACTTGGAACGCCTTACTCCCTGCTTAACGTACAAAAGTCTCAGCAGAGAATAATAGATCGCTCGGCGAACCCTCGTGCGCGAAGTGCCTATCCAAAGGGATTCCACATATACCCCAGCACCCCAAGCTCAGTCAATGCCGTGCTGCTTTTTCAGCTTCTCCAAGTTCTCTTGTCTTTCAGCTAGATCTTCTTTTGATTTCGCCATCTTTTCTGGTTGGTGGTAGAGAACTGCACTCATTAGCACGAAAGTAAATAAAGTCATCTGTCTGTAGCATATTGTCTGACATACCGACCAGATAGCGATTCTGGAAATTGAACCCATTCAACTTATCACATGCCTGCTTTGCGTCCATGACATCCTCATATACCACGAATGCGGTGCCTTTGGTATTGTTGGCGATGCCTTGCCGTATTTGCCTGTCCTATCAATCAGCCGCCGAACGACACATCAAAGACCCATGGTGGTCTACACGTCGACCGTAGGATGTGGTCAAGGATACACGCACCGTACGGGCCCGAACTTTCCAAACAGATCAAACAAATCCTCAGGCGTGACGTTATAGCTAGTTCGAGTCAGCAGGAGGACCGAAAACTGCGTAAAGAAGGCATTAGCTGAACGCAAGGAAATCTGACCTCAAATTCTTTACGAATAGAGCCCTAAACGCTATGGTCAGCTACTTGTTACCGACGCCAGCAGTAACTTACCGGTTTACTTCAGGGGCCAGCTTTCCACCGCGACTCATCTCTTGCTAGGTTGGTGGGATCTTTAGATGGCTCTTCTGTGGTATCCAGCATATGACGGATTAGATAGATGCTGTCCAATTTTTCCTGTAGACTTTTAAGTTGGAGGAAGTCCCCTGGCTCCGCATGGGAAATAGACTACTTTAATTTAGGTTCGACATGATGCCTGGTGATGCATGCATGCCGGGTAGATTAGATAACACCACACCAAGCTCAAAATTCTTACGTACCCTGATACTGTACATTACCTAGGTGCCTAGGTAGGTAGCCCCTAGTTCTTTCGTCTTTTTACACTTTACGCACGCTATACGCCTTGATGCATATATGCTAGGTGAAAGTCACGAGTGTAGAGACACTTTGAAAACAGCCTGGTTGAAACATAGAGGCGTAAATACCAGTCATTAACTTTGTGATGTGAATAGCAAGAAGTGGTTAGTAGAGTCCCCATAAGCAAAACATTCATCCTTGACAGCTATTCTACCTAGGCTAGCCGGTTCGCTGAATCACATATGCTGCGTGCCTAGATGACGGCCCCATAACGCCCTTCGTAGGGTATATATGAGCAACCAAGAAACCGTATTCTCCCAACGCGTACCCGTGGGCAGCTCAAGGCAAACGCTCCGTGCAAACACATAAAAGGAGATGTTGATACAAATGCTTCCTCTGCCACAACGTTCCTCAGCACGTTGCTTTCGTCTATGTCTTCAGACCATTATCAGGACCACTCAGTCGATTTCCACAACGTCCCCTTCGGCCTTCCTCTTTCTCAGGTTTGACTCACCGGGCGTGTGCCCATCAGTGCTGAAAATCTCATCCATCCTCGCAATTAAATTCTCAACCCCCTTGAGATCGGCAACTATTCCTCCTTTTGTCATACCTCTCCATCCATCCCCCTTGCCCCTCAAGGCACCTTTCAGACCTTCCTCGAAAGCTTCATTGCCTGTTTCCGCTTTCTTGATGCTTTCTTCCGGCACAATCCACATGAGTTCGTCTCTTCTCTGCCGCAGACGCACGTCGAAGCCACCTTTGGGGTAGGGCGCAGAGTAGCGGAGCTGATACCATTGCTCCGAGCGGGTAAGGACTGCGACGCCGCCATTTGTATGGACAGTCTCAACTGCAGCTAGCGCGCGGACAACAGGGAGTGTCATCCGCATGACGCCAATAACGCTTGCGAGACCCTGGGGCTTTAGCCGAGCTGTGAGATAGTCTACGATGCGGAGGTGTGGATTAGGTTTAGCGAGAGAGACACGCATCGGTCCGTCAGGAGGGAAGTATATGGTTGCCTTCAAAGGACTGGGGATTTTATTGTATACAAATTCAATGTGGGTGAGAGACGCACGTTGGAAGGTAAGTTTATGTGACTGGATGGTGGAGACAAAGTCTAGCAGAAGGCCAATTGCTGACAGGCGGCGGGTAATGTTGGGAATGTTGGTCTCCCCAACTTTCGCAAGAACCTGGAAGGTGAAAGCCCCAGAGGTAGGGTGGAAAATTATCGAAGGAATGGCAAATACTAGGTCCTTAACGTTGGAGACAGGTTTCTGCATGCGGGCGGAAATCATGTGGATTGCGGATTTGTGTGAGCAATCAAGACCTCGGTAATCGAGCTTAACCATCTCATTGGCCCATGGCAAGCTGGAAGCACTAGGGGTGCTTAACAGAGACGGAGCACGCTCGCCAGGAAAACGGAACAAAATGGTCGGTGTCCGAATTCCCGTGCTGCTAGGTGCTGAAAAATGAACTTTGTGTGGAATTTTGGAGGCTGAGAGATGACGGGTATCGCAGTATTGAGAGATCATCCCTACGGCGTTTCGCTCAATGTGGGCAAGCGCAGTATAAGACTGGTCGGTCACAAGCGACTGAGGGTCCGTAGCTGCGACCTTGTACGCTGCTCGAAGTCTGGGTCCAGATACCGAGTTCGACGTCGCCGATTCAATTAATGTTGCTTTGTCTAGGAGCTCTACAATCCACCAGGAATCGCCTTCGAGGCCAGTAGTGAACGCCAAGATCCAATTAGCACTCCAAGCTTGTCTTCTGAAGAACTTGGTTCTTTGGGTATTCTTTGGAAAGAGGCGTTGCATTGTGTCCTGGCCTGGGTTCAACGATCGCACGGGCTCCAATCCCATGCTGCGGGCACTAGCATCGACTTCCTCCTGAGATGCGATTGACCTGAGATGCGCCAATTGAGAAGCCCCTTCTGTAGCAGGGGATGCAAGACGATTTAGCTCATGTTCCGCGCGACTGTTCAAATGAGACGCTGGTAGTACTGCAAATCGGCCTGACACAGGCTCTTGAACAACTTTCACGGCTTTCGAGGTCGTAAGCTGTACAAGCAAAGATGCGTTCAAAGGCTCTGTCATCGATGAGTTGCGTTTGCACCTCATAAAACCTCCCGAATACAACGACGATTCGTTCAACTTGGCCGCCATCTCCTGGAAGATGTAGTTTGTGTGCAGTGCGATGATTTCCTGAACAATGTTTAAGAGTGACAGTTCACCCAATCTTATTTCAACTGTGACATTGTCAACCTCCTTGCCATTGCGGAACCACCGCAAAGCAATGTGAGGTATCCTTTGGCTTCTTGATGAGTAGGATAGTCGAACCTCTTTGCCACGCTTGAGCCCAATCTCGATCCAATTCTTGCCTCCTGGCCTATTCGACCAGTATTGCAAAACAACAGATCGATGCACAGCCTCTACTTGTAAATATTCAGACCAGTGACCCCTCACCATTTCGTGCGCTTGATTCCTCAAGACAAGGAGCTTGTGGGTGAGTACGAGGTTGTGCAGGAAATCAAAAAGGCCTTGCAGACCATCGTGCTTGAGCACGTCGTTGGCCCTGCCTTCAATTTCATTTCGCAGCCTACCGGCCGGCAGCTCCATAGGTTTTGGCGAGAATGCAAAGCGAAAGTCAATGAGATAGAGCTGTGATGAGGCATCTTCCTCGGCTATAGAGAGGTCGACCTCAAATTCGTCCACAACGTGGAAGGTTGCTCGACCAGACGCAATGGAGTAATCTCGAAAGACTGGTGGTATGTTTTCTTGAAGGTTTAAACGGATCGAGAGAAGGGTGTTGATTCTCCGGAGGGCATTGACGAGTTCTTGGGGGGTTAAAGGCTCAGGAGGTAGGTAGCTGAGATCAGGTAGCCACGATGCTTTGCCAAGAGAAAGCACCTCCAAAGCGGTCTTGATATCAGGGTTGGGCTCTCTGAGTGGTATGAGTCTTCGCTTTAGCTCTCCCATCCATGAACAACACTCATCGTATTGGCCTATCTGGTTGCTCAGCCAGAAATTTAGGTCAATAACCCTGCTCACTGCCTCTACTTGTCGGGCCCATCGAGATAGTATTAAAATCTTGACGAATTGCGCCCTCCGATCGCTGGCGAAATGTAGCACGCGCAGCTTCTTCTGCACATTAGCCTGCGAAGTGTCTCCGTTACCATTTAATTGTTGGTGGATATGGTTATGGGGCTCGCTTTGACTAGGCTGAGGAACTGGCATGTCCGACATATCATTGATGACGTCGGTAAGGTCGTTAAAGGTTTCTTGAACAAGCCTTGATATCAGGGAGGAGAAGGGTACGTAACCAAACGTTACATGCTCAATCTCCGGAGGAAGTTGGCCCACAAGCTTCTCGACCGCAGCGGATGTCTTGCGCTGAATGGAGCTAGGACTTGAGGGGATACCATTTGCATAGGTCCCATTCATGAGCCCATGATCTCCATTTGTTTGCGCATAGCCATTGCGGTAGTCTCCCATCTTGACATCGTGGGTATCTCCTTCGACCATGGCATCAGACTGGACATCAGTCGCCATCTTCATGCCCATAGGACCCTTGCTAATAACTTCGGCTCTTGGTAGAATGCCTGGCATGCTGTGCGATTTATTGTCGGCGACCTCGTCCCGCTGTTTCGTTTCCTCCAACGCCACCCCACCCACCGACTCCTCCTTCCCCTCCAACGAATCCCCCCTCGCACGCTGTATCGACTCTATCTTGCCCTGCCAATCAACATACGAATTCGGTACGTGAGAAGTATGGGCTTGGGAGGGGCCAGAGGGAATAAGCAAATGCTATCGATGGAGTGTAAAGTACATGTCATGTGTCGATGTGATGGCCTCGGCAGGAACGAGGGGGAAAGAGATGGGGTGAGCGCAGAGCAAATGGGTGTTGTTGAGGGGTGGGGTTCGGTCTCAATCAGAGCGATGAGTTGTCGGTTGCCTGGTTTCGCAGATTAAGGCGAAAGAGCAAGAGGGGCTCCGCGAGCAGGTTGGTATAGTAGACAAGACATGTAAAGTAGGGTATCAAAAGAAGGTAAGGTAGAGAGAGAAAGAGAGATGAGGTTTTGTTGGTTGAGCTTGTTTCAGGCAAGTTGATTATTGTTTCTCAGGAATTTGCTAATGCTAACATCACCTAGCGCCCTTTTCATGCGCCGGCCAATCAAACAATGCAGTAGGTATTATTGTCATCATTTTTATCATTATCATTGACAAAGAAACTATGGCATTCTTCGATTAACCAATACAACGAGTTGTTTGCATCAAAACATAAACGTTAATCTTTGGCCACTTCCTACGAGTCCTGCTTTTCGCTTCTACGAGTAAGATGTTACAATCGCTACCTTCTTCCAGTGCGTGGGATGTCCTCATGATATCCTGCGCGCGTCTTCCAAAGTCCAGAACTAGGGATGTATCCGTATGTGCTTATGTCCTTTGTGGTCTAGTCGATAGACTGAGTAGAGACTACCTTAGAGTCCTAGATGATACAGCGTGAAGCGGGTACCAATCTACCAGTCTAGCATTCTAAGCATCTGTTATCGAGCTCTTGGGGCTTTGTCCTGAATTATAACTTTACCTCCGCACTGTAATCTGTCTTGAATTGAAAACTCCGTAACAGCGTATACAACACACCATCCTGTTCCATATTCTTTCTTGCAGCTTCAGCCGATGCATATTGTTCCTTTGATTACTTATGGGGAGGGTTGAAATGGGAGACGCAAGAGGTTGGGGAGAAGAGGCGACCATTTTAGCGTTTGCGGGGGAGACCCGGAGCAATAAGCAATGAGACAGCTTCGCGTCGCAAGTCCTCGTCCATCAGCTTCGTTCCAATGAGCTCCTCTGCCTTTGACCATACTTTCATACTCATCCTCAGGTTCCTCACAATGGCCTTGAACCGCCCACATTCTCTTCTTTTCACCCTAAAGCTTCCTTCCGGAGCCCCACCGCCTCTGCTTTAGCCGACGACGAGGAAGTCTATAAGCTCCCTCTCTTCTCCCTATAATATGGAGCCCGACAATTCCTCTCATCCCCCCTCATATGCTGGAGAAGATACCCGGTTGACGAGCACCAAAGAGCTCTCAGGTTGGTATTCTTATGGCTGGGCGGCCGAGGTATTCGTTGTATGCGGTGTTGGGTCTTTCATCCCCATTACCTTGGAACAACTCGCGCGTGAGCGCGGCGTCCTCCTGTCCGACAGGACAATATCCTGCAGCGCCGGCTTCAAGACTCCCATGCCAATAGAATTCCCAAATACAACCATGCCATACGAGGCGGCGGCTACAACTTTATCCTCTCGAGCAGATAAAGGACAGTGTATAATCAATTTCTTCGGGACTGACATCAACACGGCGAGCTTTGCCATGTACACCTTCTCAATCAGTGTGCTCGTACAAGCTCTTCTCATCATCTCAATGAGTGGAGCTGCAGACCACGGTCGTTACCGAAAGAGCCTCCTGCTCTCATTTGCATTTACAGGAGCTGTGGCGACCATGCTTTTCCTTGCTGTAATCCCGAAGGTCTACGCACTTGGGTCATTGTTGGCCATCATCTCAAACACTTGCTTCGGCGCGTCTTTTGTCTTATTGAATTCATTCCTCCCCGTCCTTGTACGTCGGCACCCATCCATTCAGGCGCCTGAGATCGATGGAAACAGCTATTCGGAAGGGTCAAGCTCCGAGCAGACAACCGACTACGAGGATCAAGGTCACGATAGTGCTACAGAATCACTTATACAGTCCTCTTCCGTCGCTCGTCGAATGGTACCTATTGAAACTTCATCTACGCCCATTTCACCTGCACTTCGGCTATCAACCAAGATATCGTCATATGGGATAGGGATTGGATATATTGCGGCGGTGATCGTCCAGACCCTAGGTATAACAATTGTTGTAGTTGCGGACTCTATGACCACGTCCACGACTTTGACTCTTCGAATCGTCCTCTTTCTCGTCGGTCTATGGTGGTTTATCTTCACAATTCCAGCAGCACTCTGGCTGCGGCCGCGGCCGGGTCCTCCACTACCATTTATAAGCAATGGTAAACAAAGGAGCTGGGCGGGTTATATTGCTTATGCATGGTGCTCCCTTGGGAAGACCATTCTGCGAGCTCGCCGCTTGAAGGATGTCACGCTTTTTCTAGGCGCTTGGCTACTTCTGAGCGATGGCATCGCAACAGTCAGCGGTACTGCCGTGTTGTTCGCGAAGACGGAATTGCAAATGACACCCGCCGCTCTAGCATTGATCGGTCTGGTCGGGACCGTCGCAGGGATTTTGGGAGCATTTTCCTGGAACAAAGTTGTACGTATTTTGGGACTGATTTCTTCTCGATGAGTAGCGCCACTGGAAACGTGATGCATGTTTCTGAGGCTTTCCGAGAGCTAAGGGCCCTTTTTACTTCCCATCCTCATCTCAAAAGTTGAATCGTCTTGAAGAATTGAAACTGACTCTGAAATCCCAATCACAGTCCCAATTGTTGGGCATCCCTCCGTCAAAAACGATTATCGCTTGTATATGTCTTTTCGAAATAATTCCAATATATGGGCTTCTAGGATATATACCTGCCATAAGACGCTTTGGGGTGTTCGGTCTCCAGGTATGCACATTTTGGCAAGGGCTTATTCCTCTTGTTGTGATTGGAGATTTCGTGTCTTGAAAAGGGTTTCTTACTGCGTTGTGCTCTCTTCATCTGGTTCCTCACTCGACCTTTTGTTATGAGAAGAGTATGCTGACTTCCGAATCCTCGTTAGCAACCGTGGGAGATGTATCCTCTCGGTGCCATCTATGGCATCGTTCTTGGAGGGCTTTCTTCGTACTGTCGTAGTCTCTTTGGAGAGCTCATACCTCCAGGATCTGAAGCTGCATTCTACGCTTTATATGCCATCACGGACAAAGGCTCAAGCGTTTTCGGCCCAGCCATTGTTGGTGCGATTACAGATCGATATGGGGAGATACGTCCTGCGTTCGTGTTTCTGGCTGTACTCGTATTCATACCGCTGCCTCTGATGTTGCTGGTCGATGTTGATCGAGGGAAAAGAGATGGTGCTGAAATGGCAAAGGAGCTGGAAGGAAAGGATGATATTACTCAATCCAGGAGCGAAGATGTTATCCGGCTGGTTGATGAAGAGGAGGACGAATGACCAATCCCGAATTGAGCGATGGTGTTGCATGGGTATGGGAGCTGTATTGTGGCTTTATGCCCAGCCCCGTAACACTGTTAGACTTTGATATCCTTGTCAAATTGAAACGTGAATATATCGAATGGCTTGCGCGTCACGAAGCTTTGGCGAATACTCAAAATGCGACATAGGTGTAAAATGGCATTTCAAAGGATTGTTTCCAACAAAAAAGTCGCACTAGGGGCTCGAAGTCGAGATCGATAATCATGGCCACAGGGACCAAGTTACTACCCATGAGACATGCATAAGAGAAAGACGTGCAATTCAACTCAGGATCATTCGCACTGGGGTTTCGGCCATCTATGTTGAACCATTTCAGTGGAGGATGCGATCGTCCTACGCGATAGAACGGCTAACGAGCCCTTGCTGTGGTTTTACTGATACAACGGGCTTCCATGCTTTCCCTCAGTACTGACACGAACGCCATTCGTTCCTGCTCATCAATGTCCCCATTCCAACGCCTAATCGTGCACACCCCATTTCCCTACCTCCTCCATTGCTGCCTCTCCACCGTCTTTTAACCTTTCCTCTCCCAGCACTCCACTGACACAGGCCCAACCACTTCTTCCGCCTCCCCATTTCAGCACCTCCTCTTTATATCTCTCTCCTGCCTCTCTGTCCACAGCCCTACCATCCTTTCCTCCGCTAAAGACTTCCTTCCATACCTTTCCTGCAATAGCTCGATCAAAAAGGTAACTATAGTAGGTACCCCCATACTCTACCAAATGTCCAAAAAAGCCCTGCGCGTTCGTGCCCCGAGGCTCCCGCACGCTACTGTATTTATCGTAAACGTCGAAGAAAGCTTTCGTGCTATCAAAGCCTCCGTTCATGTCGACCGGAAGCGAAGAGTGGTAAGCTTGATCTAGCAAACTAAACAGGATCTGGGTCTCCGTTTGGAGACCCTGTCCTCGTCCATGCATCAGCAATGAATTTTTGACCATCTCATACGGCAAAGATGCGCCGGTCTCCCAGTGACGTGCGAAAAGCGCAAGTACCGAAGGATCCGAGGCGAAATACTCCATCAGGACCGAAGGGAGCTCCGCGAAGTCGGTGGGGCAGCGAGTGCCGGCGACAACCTGCAGAGATGTACGGCCAAGAATTGAATGGATGGCGTGGCCCATTTCATGGAAAAGCGTTTTGACGTCCTGAAAGCCAAGCAGCGCGGGAACTGACGAGTGTGGCGGGTGAGGAAAATCACAGATCAAAGCTAGTACCGGAAGTTGATAGTACTGGTGGTTATTGATGAAGGACGAAACTGCCATGCCATCATTGGCATCCTGTGGAGAGTCTGGCCCTTCACCAGTCTCTGAAGGGGAGATAAGACGCGAGCAACGAAGGGTGAAATGTGTGGGATTTGGATTCTTGCCAGCACGCGCGAAAAGGTCGCAATAAAGTACTGCGACGTGGCCGTCAGTCTCGTGTAGAACGTCCAGACGACGCACATCAGAGTGCCACGTTTCTCCGGGACTGGTACTACGAGGGACAAAACGGATGCCGTAAAGCCGGTTAAAGAGGCGCGAAAGCCCTTGCATCACTGTGCCCAGAGAGAAGTAGGCCGGCATGAAATCGGGGTTTCGAGACTTCGGTTTCAGATCAACGTTGAGACGATTTCGATAGTAGATCAAGTCCCACTGCTCAATTCCCGTAGAAATGCCATCTGCTGCTTTCATCTGCTTCATTCGTACCAGTTCTTGCATTACGCGCGGAGCGTTATCCGCGGAGAGCGCTGTGAGAAAAGAAACAACGGCCTCGGGTGACTTAGCCAGCTTATCAGACAAGTTCATGTGAGCATAGCTCTCATGACCAGAAAGATTTGCAATCTCAACGCGGGTCACCATCAGCCTTTCGAGCAGCTTAGTCTGCTTCCTCGAGGACTGTCTTCCTGCGATGTAGATCTCTCTTCGTGTCGCTTCGTCCTCCACGGTTCCCAAAGCCGTATATGGCACATCCCCAACAGTGGGCAATCGTATCCTCTTACGCCCCTCAGAGTATCGCGCGAGGATCAACGGATCCATACCTTTCAGCTGTCTAATATCAAAGTCGAGGTAAGACGTTGTCGGAGTCATACTGTCCAGAAACTCGTTTCCCAATGCCTTCATCTGGTTCGACAGCTCTACGAATCTTCGCCTCTTTTCGGCGGGCAATTCAATGGCAGAGTTCGAAAAGTCTCGAAGCAGGATCTGGGCCACCATTTTCTCTTCCTCATTCCACGATCCCGAGGCTCCATGTGTCGAGATAGCCTTCCTGAGTTGGGCGTTTAATCCGGGAGTGGTATTAAGAACGTTCATATAATCGAAGAGAAACGCATAAGCCTGGATGGCGGCTTCTTGATACTGAGCATCTGGATGTGTGCAGCGTACAAAATCTGCAATATCGAGGACTCGACACAAGGAATCGCTGAGAAGGTCAAGTTGTCTTGGTATGGCTGCGTATGCCTCAGTTGAGGCTGCTGACAAGACATCATCCACAATTTTCTGACACTTCTTTTGCGTTACCTGGGCGTATTTGAGGAAGCCCGAGGGCTCTATAAGATATTGGTTCTGGAACAAGCCACGTGAAGGTCTTGCTAAGTCGGAAATATGGTGCTGAGAAAACTGCAGCCAGTCATTGTGAGAGTCGAATATCTGGCGCAACGTGGTATCCTCAAGGCTTCTTTCGTGACTGGTGGTAGACGAAAATCGACTTTGCTTGGGGCCAGCAGTCGCGGTTGCTGCCGCGGCAAGTAGGCCGCGAGGTGTGTAGAAGTGAAGAGCATTCCGAAGGGATGGCGTTGATAGGCGACATGGTAAATTGATCATGTCCTTGCTTCTATACAACGTGAATGCCGGACCTCTTCATGCATCCTCATATCCTCATCTGAAGTAACAAAACCTCGAACCTGTATTACTTTAACGTTTATTCCGATTATTACCGCTAAAGAGAACGCTAAAGTAACTAAGGCTAGTGAGCGGCGCTGTGACGGAATGAATGGTGGGGAAATTCGAGTATGTAGGCACGTAGGTACTCCGTGCAGGAAAGAAGAACTTCGTCCTACATCTTGACACCCACAAGCATAAGACAATCACATCCACCGTTCCATTTCTTGCCTCGTGTCCAGTCTTACACCATGGCCTCTGACTCAAAAGACTCCGCTTTTGGCATCCTCGGCTCCTCGAAGCTCAACACCGCCGACGGCAAGAATCCCACCTCCTCCGCCACCACTTCTATGTCAACTCAGGCAGGCACAGCTAGCGGTCAAAAGAACACCGAAGAGTACAGACAGGTTCGTACATCCCGGAGTAAACGTTATTTGTTTGGGGTTAAGGGGAGCAAAAGTGTCCTCCTACTCTTGAGAATTTGTTTCATTACCCAGGTTCTTGGCTTGAAGGAGCAATGCTGACTCCGAATTCTGCGTAGGAGTGCAGCAAGGCTCATGATGCTCTAGAGGATCGTCTACGCGATGAGGAGAGGGAGAGGAAGTGGAGCGGGAGGTGGTGAGGTACAAGTGAAAGTGATAGAGCTCCGCCAGTGTCTGAGGAAGCAGTAGGAGTCGTGACATGTGGGATGGAGAGCTGGGGCAATTGGCTCATGTTCAATATTCCAAGGAAGCAAAGGATATCTTATGTGATGGCTAAGGACAGGTTGAGCGAGAATTCCTTCACTATGACGAAAATGAATTACAAGGGGCATGATTCCCTATTCCTATCATATTCTTATCGACGTTTGCAAGCTTATCCAGTTGTTTGGAGCGTCTGTCTAGACCCAGAAAAGTGTCCACGTAATATCAGCTTGACGGCCTGCAGCCCGCTTGCGGACGTGTAAGCACAAGACACCCTCCATCACGCCCCGCCTTTGGTATAGACCTCATAAGGCGCACCTACTCCCAGAGCGCGTCTCGCATCCAAGCCCAGGAGGGAGAGGCCATGCAGATAACTTGCGTTTGTCCACCCAAAACTACTCCCTCAGATCAGCGGTTGTGTATCTAAACATCTCGGAAGCATTCACGCGACTCACCCTTCCTCTGGAGCGTACTTGAAGCTCAGTCCTTGGTTGCCATACTCTGCCCCTACGCGGTGGGGGCTCTTGAGCTGCGTGACGTCGTATTTCTCGACCACAGTACCATTGTAATCCACGAAAACCTTGGTGATCATGTGAAGCCAGCGGTACGCTAGTCTCTCGGCCTCCTCGTGATAACCATATTTCCTCAAGCCATCCCAAGCCAGAATTTGATGAGGAGCCCAGCCATTAGGATAGTCCCATTGCTTCTGAGGATTCGCTGTATTGACCGGGCCACGAGAATTCTCTGTATTCGAAGAGAGACCACCCACACATTCGAATTTGGGAAGGCCTTTTTCAACGAGTAAAGCCGCTTGATGCGGACTAGCTACCCCGCACCAAAGAGCCCAGAGGCTCGTCACCGTCTCATACTCAGTTTGCTTCTGAGTCACCGAGTTGTAGTCAAAATAGAGACCCTTCTCTTCATTCCACAAATACCTATCAATTAATCCTTTTCTCTTTCTGGCAGAAATGTCCCAAACGGCGGATGACTCGAAACGATCCACCACCTGACCGGGAGCACAAAAATCAGCAGGTACTTGAAGAGTGTCCTCGAAGATGGTCCGAATCGCCTCCGCGATGTCCATTTCGTATCGATAGAGCAGACAATTCAAATCTATCGTTGCTAAGTCTGCGCAGACTCCCACGAATCGATTCGACGTATCATGGCCACTTTCCCTGAGTGCTCTGTCATGGAGGAAGAACGTGTCAAGCTCAGGCTCTTGGATTTTACCATTGGTGTATGCCTGTCCAATCTCAGTCATCGTCATGTTGTGCTTCGCGGCGTAAGGTTCCAAAATGTGGTCAAACCCCGTTGATTCAACTTCTGGAGGGATACCAATCCCAACGGGCCTGTATCTGGTGAGTCCAGTGCCTTCGTCGTATCTGGGAGCCGTCATCCAGTAATTGTAATACTCTTTCATTGCGGCGAGGATTGCCAGCTTGAGAAGGTCCTTGGATCCAGGCTCATGTTTGGTCGCATTGTAAGTTTTCAAAGCTAGATCTGTGAGGAAAGGGGGCTGTGCTCTGCCAAGGTAGTACGACCGGTTCGCATTGAGTATTTTGCCATAGTGTTTGATCTCGAAGATAAAATGTCGTAGGATCGACTTGACAACATGTGGATGCGTATCTATCATTGACGTAGCACAGAAACAGCTATCCCAGTTGTAGAGTTCGTTGAATCGTCCTCCAGGTACAACGAATGGGAGTCCTATGAGTTCTTTGCGTCCATTCGAGTCATTTCCCTCCATCTCAAGCGCCAGAATGCCAGGCTTATCGTTCAAGCTCCTGATGAACTCAGCCGTGATGTCGCTTTCTGGAAGCCATTGTACGTCCAAATTTATGTCTGGCATTTCCCGCGCAAGCTTCGAGTAGTATGCGTGCTGTAGTGGTACGCCATGCGGTACATAGATTCTTGGGTGAGAGTCCGCAGCCTCGAGGGTTTTGGGATCTCTCGCTGCAACGGCGATGCCAGAGCTATCGATGTTCCTCTTCAGGTTGTCCCACCAGCTGGTTCTGATCAATCGCTGGAGACGATCGACTGGATCCTCAGTGATTTTTTCCAAGTCGACTTCCAGAAACTCCTCCCCCTTCTTCTGCGCCAGGAATAGCTCTTGCAGGAGGTTTGCTAGATGATACGTACCTTTGATCTCAATCTCTTGAGTTGCATCATGCTTCAGAGGTTTCAAGAAGAAAGACTTCGTTTGATGACCAAAATTAGCATCCTTTCGATCTACACCTAGAGAACATGACACACCTTTGGTCCGCAGTCATCGACCGTTATCAGCCCATCCCCATCTGTATCCTCTCTCCATAACAATTTTTCTCTTGTAGTATTCACGGCTACTACTAGCTTTCCTTTCGTGCTAGTGACTTCATCTGTAAGTACCTCATAGTATCAGTCGACCCGCCCGGATTGGTATCAATGAAAGTAGGGCGATACCGTTGATACCATGTTTGCTTTGTTGCTGCGTAGATGGTAAATCCCTTTCAAGGTGCACAGCACTTTTTGACTAGAGTTGACACCACCATACGGTCAGTCAATGGGTGACTGCTCGTGTTTTTATGAAGGAAGCCGAAAGAATGTGGTATAAAGCGAGAAAGTAGCCCGAGAACAAGCAGAGAAAACACGCCTAGAATTAATTTGACTTGAAGACTCGATGGGCCCCCAGAAGGTTGGTTTCAGGAGCAGGCCGGTACGCATACCAACAAAAGAATGGAATGGATCAAATAGCTGCATAGAGTAGAAAATTTGACACGAAATACCGCCATACATTGCTCGAATCCTTCTGCGTTGTGCTTCCAGGGTTCCTCTCCAACTCAGCCGTTAGGTGTATATCCAGAGTCCTGCCAGCGTTCTCTGCATTCAGATCTGCCGATGACATCGTAATAGCTGCAAATTGTTGCGTCTTCCAATCTGACAAGAACCAGCCAGCAAGTGTGTAAAGGGGCAGATACTGTGGTACAGAATGAAGAAAAGCTTATGCTATGGTTTCGAGCACAGACAACTCAAGTCAATCAAAGTCACTTGTGATCAGGCTGGATGTCAGAAAGAAGTAGAGAAGCTATCGGCTGTGTTTGGATAAATTAGGTATTCCAAGCACGACGAAAATCGAACCTATCCCAATTGTTGATGACAGATGCTTTTTACAGTCTTATCTTCTCAAGAGGTTTGGAAATTTCAAAGGCAAGACAGCGGAAGGTTGTGTTGGAAAAAGTTGGTGCTTGACCCTTCAAGGCGGGCAGTTTGAGAATTGGTCTCCCCGTGTCACAGATATGGGCAACGTATACCAATCGGAGGAAAGACTCGAAAATACTCGTACTCACAGTGCCCAGAGAAATACTGGAGCTGCTAGTGGTCAGCTCAGTCCGAGAACGCAGGGGACCGATTGACATTAAGGGAATAGGTATGGCCCACGGACGAATTTCTACTACTTACTAATACTATGACTCTCTCCTGTGTTAGAAGAATATCGATGTTTATGCGAGATGGCTTGTTCAAGAATACCATAATTGTGGTTGCTTGGAAGAAATGACTTTGAATTGATGAGAGGGTTGGGACCCTTTCTCTTGACCCTCCTGTTGTCATCTTCATTGCTTCCTTCGGTCTGTATAAACGCGGAGGATTCGCGAAAGTGCACTTCTCGTTCATGGAAAATGCATAATACATTAACATAATTATGTGATCAGATATGCGTCAATGGCAACACCGACCATGTCCTGCTCCAAACGGCAAAGAAAGCGCTGCCGTATCATAGGATTTAACGACTCCCAGATTCCATCGCTCTGTACTCACGACGCCCCCTTGTGCTTTGCCAACCTTGAATAGAACTGCTGGTATTAGTAGACAGGCCGACCCTCGTCCCACTTCCTCTTCTCAACCATCTCCCGTCCTTCCACCTCCATGGGACTCGACCTATCATCAGGCGTCCCCTTGACTACAGGCCCCAAAATCACCCTTTTTTTTGCTCCACCACTCCATGCACCATCTTCAAGTAGGCCAACACTGCCAATCCATTCCCACACTCTTGACACGTCCCCGCCCCGGCCTTCTCGGACGCTGGCTCTTACGTTCGCATTTCTCTCGACTACTGCTCGCACTCGTTTCCACATACCTTCGCGCCTTTGATCGCTGAATTCATCTCGGAGAACATCATCACGCAGCTGTCCTACACTGATCCAGCTTTCGGCTGCATCTCCCCTGGCATGCAAAGCCGCTTGCGTGGCGAGACGGTCGAGAGTAGTGGCAACTAATGAGGGAACACGAGCTGTATCGTTACGGGACGTGAGAATAAGCGAGCGGATGTAGAGAAGAGCGATGCCGAACAGGATTATGATGGAAAGAGAGAGTCGATATCTTGCCAGCGTGAGTCGCGCGGATCTTTTGATGGCGCAGGAGAGGGGAAGGCGGGTGAGGGAGGTGCTGCTGAGGTGGAGATGTGTTCTGCGGGTGGGATGAGGTATCTGGTTAGTTTTTTGGTCAGATGTTGGTGGATTCGTTTTCATAAGCACGAATGTGACGCAAGAAGAATCGGCAAATGCAGAGGAAAGTGAACTTACCCATCAGAGGAGAAAACGACCTCTTCTCGGCCAATGATCTCCCCTATGGCACCCTTCCACAGAGATTCGAACTCTGCAGCGTCCATATTTCGTCTTCTCTTCTTGCCCACTTCTCTTTTCAAATCTTCTTCATCGATCTCCACAGGTACATCTTTGCCTCTGCTATTCTTCAAATTCCCACATTCAGCCTGCGCTTTTCGCTCCCTCAATTCTTCCACGGCTCTGTCCGCCACAGCTTTTACTCGTCGGACTTTCTCGCCGTCTGGCTCACAAGATGGCGGCAGTGGCACTAGGCCTTTTAAAGACAGTGGGTGTGGCTGTAGAACGAAGTCGTGCTCACATCTGGTCTCCATCCCTTGAGAGCAGATTGCGTGCTGAGGGCAAGGCTCACATGTCGGCTGCAGCACCTCTGCCCATTCAGGTAGTTGGACAGTCGATAGAGCATTGGATTGCCTGCCAATACCGCAGTAGCCAACAGCTAGCTTTTCCTGACGCCACCATGTAGCATACCCTCCGAGTAAAGCCACGAGGACTACCCATGGCGCGGACTTAGGGATTGTGCGAGGTTTCCGTGGGCGTTTCTTCTTCCGAGGTGGGAGGATGTCCAATTCTCCGTTTGCCGCACGTCCTCTGACCAACTCCAGCTGTTCTTCGGCTGTGAACTCCTCACCAGCCTCGATCCCATCCGTTGGCTCGTCTTCGCTAGCGGACTGCTTCAGCCTAGAAACGGGAACTACGAAAGTCTTGGAAGTTGGGGCAATTATTCCATCCTGCTGCTTTGAAGTAGATAGAACCCCTTCGATCCTCCGCCTGCTTGAAAAACTCTTTCTCTTATCACTGCTTCTACCACCGCTCTTCCGTCTGTTTTCCCCTTGAGTTAAAGGGGAGCTACCGCTCTGGAAAGGGTTCTCATCGCTGAAAACACCACCCCTCATCGGCGGTCGCATTGGTGTATCTTCTGGATCTTGGACCTTCACCACGGGTGTAGCCTCGCTCTTACGGCTTTTCCGTACAGATGTATGGATTGGTTCTAAGTCAGGTTCAGTGTCCGATTGCCGGGCGTGCTTATTGGAGCTTCTTCGACCGTTTGATGCTTTTGTAGTGACGGATGATTCTGATATGGTGGGCTCCACCGATTGGCGTGTGCTCTTGCGTGGTTTCCTTTGTCGTGGAATATCAGGCACTGGCGGAGGCAGCATCGAGCCGGCGTCGTCGTCATCGTCAGCGTCACCATTTACTGTCCCTTCTTGACTCCTCGGCATGTCTGTAATGCCCCTACTTGTGCGCCTGACTCTGTCTCGATCCGCTAATATCTTACGCGCCTTGGGCTTAAGCTCTTGATTGAAGATGTCGACGAGCTGCGGCTTCTTGGCTGAAGCTGGGTAGGGAATGTCGTGTGACATTAAAATATTTCGTAATCGTGGCATGGTAACAGACACAGGGTCGAAGGAGGGTGATAGATATGCGAGGTCATCCTCTGCTGAAGCCATGGTTTCGACCTAGGGCAAAGCCTTGCCTTTCACTCTCTTTATGCTTGCCGTGAGAGGTTGGTGAGGAGTGTGTGATATGACGGTGAGAAGTTCTATTGTGATCATAACCATGAATTGCAACACTATCTAGCTATGATAGAGCTGACACTGGTTTGCAAGCGCGACTTTCTTTGTTTGTCTGCGTTGGAGGCAGCCGCGGAGGAGATTAAGGTCTGAGGCTTTCAGCCACGGTGTTGCCACAGTGTTGCCACAATGTTGCCACCGTGGGGTACTTTACAAGACTAGCACTTTTCGTATTATTCGTGTTTTGAAGCAAATGCCCCATCTTAGTATCGTGGAGAAAACTGATGAATGAATCTTTACAGCGCCTACAGCCTGCCTTGGTGACGTTTCGTTTGAGGTAACTTGTCACGTTCCGTACTAGGTATGTTTCCACGACATTTCCTTCGATTGACTGATCACGCAAGCTGAAAACGAGTATTTTAAAGGTAAACATCCAAATAAGTAATCCAATTGTACTGCCAACCCCCTCGCATTTAAGCGGGCTCGAAGGGTATCTCCTTCTTCCCGGGAAATCTTGTCCATCAAATGCTTGAAATCCTCGACATATCCACAGGGCTCAGCCGTTGATTGCCGGCATGGGCGGTATCAATTTTCTTTGCTAATCTCAGGGACAGTTAAACGTAAGCCTGGTGCAGCATTACCATAAGTGTTTAAGAAGATTGCAGTCGTTGATTTTGCTTGTTGCAGACCTCGGTCCTTTGCCGGTCAGAAGTAAGGAATCGATATTGATGGTGATGTGTCTTGGGGCTACCCTGCTGTAACGTAGGGCTATGTGATACAGTGTCCTTCAGGCACAATCATCGTGTGAGCGGCAACCGAAACAAAAATACTATGAGATTAACGCAGAGATTCCTTGAAGGTCGTTCTGAAACGTGCAAAGCTTCGTACTCTCACGTCAACCTGCCCGAGACCATACCAACGCCTCATTTCATATCAATAGTCCCAAAGCCTTTGCTGCATCCGTTATGTATTAATCTGTCCTTGTATGCGCCTATGATCATCTAATGATCCCATCGCCGCCCCTTTTCCCTGGCGGTGGGCCCATAGGAGGTGCGTAGTCGTAGACAGGCTCTCCACCACGCTGCGGCGCAAAGGCACTTTCTGGCTGCTGCAACTCCACACCTTGCTGTTGACCTCCAAAATAACCTTGATTTTGTTCGTGACCTTGGTTGTAATGCCCTTGGTTCGAGACGGGAGGAGAGTATACGGGTGGTACTTGGTTATTATTGGCAAAATATGGCTGAGGGGAAGCGCCGGTGTATTGAGCTGGTGCGTGGCCTGGCGGTGTTGCGCCTGCGGCCCAGCCAGTGCCGCGGTAGGGTGAGTTACCAAGACGGCGACGTCGGCGTGCTGTAATACATCTGAGCAGCTATCAGTACGGATGTCTCTATATGACTTCATATAAAGTGTCGCGTGTCTTACGAGAAAATCACGAAAATAAGAAAGGCACCAATAACAATGACGGCGAGCAGAATCCTAAAGCTGATCAGCTGCTTTCCAATGCGCGGTTTTTTCAAATGGTAGTCTACCATCTTCCGTAATTGGACCAAGGGCTGGTGCCGTAGTAGTTGCAGTTGTTGTCGTAATCATTGCAGCTGGTAAAAGCTAGGTTAGCTTATCGATTCCGCGAATGAACCCACAATCCAGGACGATGTCTGTCAAACACGACTTACTTGTTGTATCTAGGGATGATTGCCATCGTGGCCGTGGAATGAGTACTGGTCGACGCAATGAATAGTATGTTCGTCGAAGACAGACCGCTGGTGGGTGCAGTGAAGTGGTGGAATGGTGAAGTCGGGTAGAATCAGAGGTCAGTTGAGCGACTCTATATCTATCCTGGCTTAACGATTTGGTTGGAAGGGGATAGGAATATTTGAAGTATAGCAAGAGTCTGTGGGCCTTTTGTGGCAGTCAATATTGAAGTGGCGTGGGCCACGCAAGAGCAGGGCAATGCTCGATTGTTGTCATCATCATGCAGCTGGAAGGAGTCTAGCTCTGTGGGCTAAGCCTCTACTAGCGTATATCCCTGCCGAGAGCGCTAGCGCATTTCACAGCAGGGATTTTGCGGCTAGCCAGCGCATTCCCCGTTCGTGTTGATGAAATCTTTTGCGACGTGTACCATTTCTCCTTTCTTCAACCTCTTTATAATTATACAAAAATCAACATGGTAAACATCCATGTTATATCCGTGGCGGTTGAAGGCACATATCGTGCTTCTCAATTTTCCCGGTACAGAAGCACCGGATCCACGAAGATCAACCCCAAGCTCGTTTAGCTGCTTTACATGCAAACCCCCAAACATCCTCCCACCAGGGTCAATCATACAATGATGAAGAGAATCGAAAGAATAAGACAAACAGAAATTTCCCGGCAAAGTGTGAAACAGGATCGCTCCGAGCATTGAAAGTTTATCTTGCCATTGCTAGCATGCATCTTCTCGTTGCTTCATCAACGTCGTGAACGCTCAACTCGTAACTAAATGTCGTTGTCAGTCGTGCAAGGCGTCGTCGAAGGTCATGCAATTCTCTTATATGGTCTTCTCAGTGGGCTGTCTTGTTGATCAGCCATTCCAAGACAGCATCAAGATTCGTTTCTTCCTTCGCGCTGATTCCATAGCAGCTGACTTCGCGGTGAGAGATGGCTTTCATGTTCAGTGCTTCGATCAACTCATCGACCGAAAGCTTATCGGGCAAATCAGACTTGTTTCCCAAGACGAGCAGAGGAATTCCGTCCAAGACCGGCTTTTCAAGTAAGGCGTGGAGTTCTTCCATCGCTACTGGCATGGCAGCCTTATCTGCCGCGTCCACGATATACCTGTGAATTATATCAGGATCGTTTCACCAATGCACGAGATGGCGTACCCACACGATGGCGTTGACACCCCGACAATACCGCTCCCACATGGACCGAAATCTGGGCTGACCACCGAGGTCCCAGCTAGAGGAATGTTATGCCAACCAGCGATCGAGTAATGATAAGTGAACGACCTACCATTTGAGGGTGACGTGGCCTTTCTGGACTCGTTTCATGTTGAAGCCCACTGTGGGAATAGAACTTTTGGAATTCCGAAGTCAGACGGGACATCTGAAGCAATTACTGTTGACCTACTCTATGGTAAATTCTCCACCCTGGCGAGTATCGCATCAGCAATTCTCCACATACATCGTCTCTGGATCTTACCGCAAGGACTCGCAGGAGAGAGGTCTTGCCAGCATTCTGCAGACCAATCATAGTCACATCCATCTCTGTCGCCCTAATGGATTGAAAATGTCAACGGTACCCTGGACACGCAGACGGCCAGCAGGGCGGTGCATCGTGACACTGGCAGGATGGCGCATATTCTACGACGGATTGCGGTGAGGTGGATCGTGACGGTCGACACGCAGGATGCTACGGAGGGACTTACCAGAAAGTTCGCAACAACCAGTCATAGATAACCTTGAAAAAGCCGGCCATGGCTTCTCGCTGGGATGGTGGATGGCTTGTGAGGCAGCGGTGGTCAAGCACCAGTCGTTGCCTTTTCGCAGAATGCCAGAACCTTGGTTGACTTTGTCGTCGCGGAGGCTGGAGCAGAAAAAGCAAGCGGGAGGCGGGGACTTTGCCCTTATCGTCGTAGCAGTAAATTTGCAGCTGGTGCAAGATAATACCTTACCTAAGGTTAACGATAGAGCAGGCTAAGCAAGAAACTCGATTATCGAGCTAAATGGGGGTATTGGTATTCGTAAAAGATAGAAGATAAAGAGTGATATTGCGCTCTGCTCTGCTGCACCAGTGCCTTGCCTTTTATTTTTATTTTTTGTGTGTGCAGGTGATGCAAACTGCACAGGCCTTGTTTAGGCGCCGATGCGGGCGGTGGGGGATGGTTGCAGAAGGCAAAAAGTGAAAATAATGATCCGGCTTCTTCCCTGCAGTACGGCGGACGAAGGCTGACACTACGACAAAACTAAATCTTTTCCATACTCTCCGCCATACTCTTTATCACACTCTCCGCCATATTCTCTACGACACTCTCAATTAGACTCTGAATCTAAGATACTCTATAGAACATCCTAAAGAGCATCTCTGAAAAAATATTCCTCGAAGAACATCTCTTAAAGAGTACCTCGGATAGTATCTCGAAGAGTACCCCGAAGCGAACGTGGGAGAGTACTCGAAGGGTACTCGAAAGCGTACCCCGTAGAGTACCCCGGAGTAGACCTTGGAGAATACCCGAAGAGTACCTCGAAGCGTACCTCGGAGAGTACCCCGGAGAGTATCCCCGAAAGAGTGCCTCGAGAAGTGCTTCGAGGAGAATATCTTGGTGAGATTATCTTAAGAAGAGTATTCTATGAATATTATAAAGAGAACTCAAGATATGAGAAGCTGTAGATACGAGAAATCGTAAAGGAAGAAAATAGAAGAAGAAAAATTTAATGATTTGGTTTTATCGTAGTGTCAGCCTTCGTCCGCCGTAATGCAGCTCGCTTGTCGCAATCCCTGTACCGTGATCTCCGTGAGTACTCTGATCGTAAAATAATGTAATACAAAGTATTCAAGGTATACCTCATTTTTTTTTGCACCTAACTCCGGATTACAGTGAAGAAGCTGGACAAACAATCAATCCCGTTTGCCCTTTATCACCCTCTTCGCGCCCAAGGCGACAGTACCGAGAGATGCTCTCTTTGAAGAGTCTGTGATTTGGCCTGTCTACAGAAGAATGCCATCTTCTTCTGCTGCCTTCCCCACAGACACCCAGTGGACCGCCCATTTTGACACTGTACGGAGAGAGACGCTCTTTAAACATCCCCCAAAGGACCATACACCCTATCCTGCACTTGCAGAGGCAATTCATCCTCACATCAATTCCTTCAACGCGCTCTTCGATGATAGCAAGCTTCTCGAGGCTGGCTTGAAGGACATCGGAGCCAAGAGCTTCCTGGATGGCGAACAGGAGACAC